ACCTGGTGGGCTGTGCTGCTGTCAAAATACCTAAACAATGACTGCTCATGACTAGCTGTGGTCAATGTTTGGCTAAGGATTTCCAGACCGGCTCCTTTCACAAAAGTTGAGTGGAAAAAAAAACAAATCTACTTTTGGGGAAGGGAGGGGGGGTTCAGATGGGGCCACACACTGCTGAAGTCAGTGGAAATTCAAGCCATGTATGGTCAGCTTACCCCTGTATGTCTAGTGTTACCTCCACCTTGTTACCATTCACTTTGTTTTGTTTACAGATGGTGATAAGGTTGCTCTATGAGAGCTGTGTGCATATCACAGACCTTTGCTCTCTACATTGTAAACTCTCTCCCCCTTCCTATTCCATAACCCAACTTGTCACTTCTCCTCTGGGCCTACTATCTATCACAGGCTTAGGCTTCATTCACACTTGGAACTTGCGTTTCTGTCCTCTATATGCAGAAGAAAATCTGGCAGGCTAGATGTTGCGCTTATGCTTCTAGATGCTTTAAATGTCATTACATATAGTTTGATGTGTTTACATGTCTAGACGCATCTGGTACCAAATCCTAGCATCAAAATGCATTCCTGTTTCAAAGTTCAAATAGATTCCCAGATGCATCACACTTCAATTTTTTGAAAATGTAGATACACGGGCTGCAGATAAAAGCATCTAGAGCAGGGGTGGGCAACTCCGACCCTCCAGCTGTTGTGGAACTACAAGTCCCATGAGGCATTGCAAGACTGCCAGCCACAGGCATGACTTGTAGAGGCCTGATTGGATTTGTAGTTAAAGCACAGCTGGATGGCCGGGGTTGCCCAACCCTGATCTAGACGCAAAGTGTGAATATATCCATTGGAATTCATTAGATGCAGATATATGCGTTTACAAAAGCTTTTGAAACAAATAAAAAATCCTCGAATCGCACATAGTGTGAACGAAGCCCAAGGCTGGTAATACACTGTTAGAATTTGGGAGATTCACAGGAAATTGGCAGTGTGTGGCAATGCCAGCTGAACAAAAGTCACTGAATCGACTTTTATTGAAGGAGCCAGGTTGATCATTTTGGCTTGAATAGTGACTGTGACCAATCAGCTGCAGTCACTGTTCATGTATTGTGACAATGGTGGCCGCCGGTTGTCAGAATACAATAGTCGCAGCAAGAGGTTAGCGTGGATGGTGGGGGGGGTGTTAGATCTAATTTAGGCAGAACTTCTGGTAAGTTTCCATGTTTGAACATTACTATGTGTTTCTGTAATATCTTTAGTATAAAGGAGAACTCCAGGCAAAAGTTGTATTAACCCTTACAGTAGGGCTACCCCCCACCCCGCAGGGGTTAATAAAAGTTATACTTCAGTGCTTGTTTTTGTCTAGATACTAAAATAAAGTTATAATCACCCGATCCTCAGAGCCGGCAATCACAGCGCTCCCTCCAGCCTCTCTCCAGCGATGGTATGTCCCTTGGCATCCACACTTCTTATACATAGTGTATAAAGTAGGGATCATCAGGCCGTTGCATTGGAGGGGGAACGAGCCTCCACGGACCGGTCTAAAAACAAGCCGGCTCCGAGGATCAGGTTTTATTTTAGCATCTTGATGTAAACGATCAGTTAACCCTTGCAGTGCTGAGGTAGTACATAAAAGTTCTGCCCCGAGTTCTCTAACCCTCACACAGATGATACAAGTACTCACCATAGTCCATAATAGAAGTACATGTGTTGGTGGTGGTCCTGCAGCTTTCCCAGAGGGAGGCATATTCTCTGCCGGACTCAGTCTCCACCCAGCCCTTGCCAGCCAAGGCGATGATATCGAAGATGATGGCGCAGAGCAGGAGAAGGGGCAGGATCCATTTACACCTGGGATAGGCGATGCCACACTTGAACATGGTGCAGGCTTGTAGTGCGTATTGTAGAGTATATGAGGTGAGGAGAGCTCGGCTCCTGGTCTTGCTCGGTGTGAGTGAGTGAACAGAGTGCAGAAGAGAGAGCTCATACAAGACCTGAGGGAGAGCCGCACCTCGGGAACCAGCCGTGACTCACTAGGGTTTGCCCGGACCTGTTGTGTCAGGGGTGGAGCTGGGGGGGCAGGGAAGGGCCCAGCTATGACTGCAGCCAGACGCCTTCCTCCCCGCACAAAGCACAGCTCAGGTTACAGCGAACACTCCCTGTCACACCCGCTTTTCTTCTTCTCACACTTCTCTGGCACTGTTCATGTCTGTGAAACATATCAACACCGCTCTGTGTGTGACCACCTCCATGAATCCAGAGCTCATACATGTCATCGAACGCTTCGCATGTATCTACATATGACCAGGAGAGTGTGGAGAGCCCGGAGGTGGGTCACGTGACCAGACTGAACTGTATTGCTATGTGAACCAGGAATCTGAGAATAGATGTATGAGGGACCCTTAACAGAAGTCACCAGCACTCGATATTATGTGCAAGAAGTATAAGCACTTTTTATTGAACTGTCACATGCGTCATTAAAGGGTTTCTAAACCCTTCGGTTTTTTTTCATAGATCTACTGCTGGCAAGCAGTAGATCTATGAAAAAAGTTTTTTTTTTTAAACGCTACAACAGTGGTTTAAACTTACCCCATCTTACCCCATGTCTTTAATGTCACTTTAACGTTTTGGGGCCACGCAGTGTCCCTTCTTCAGGGCGACATAGTGACACGTCACTATGTCACCCTGAAGAAGAGACCCCGCGTGGCCCTGAAACGCCCATGATGCACGTGAGAGTTCAATAAAAAGTGCTTATACTTGCACATAATATCGAGCGCTTGTGCCTTCTATTACGGACTACATTTTACACGACGCCATCCATGTTGTCACTTCAAGCACCAAATTTCTGTATCTAAAAGGTCTTCATGCTGTAAGGAGTACAGGTGATTTCTTGATATTTGAATGAGAGGCCCTTTCACACTTTTTTTGCAGCAATGCAGCACAAAGTATTGCGGTACCGCATGATGTGGCACAGTTGAGCGCATTACAGCCGGGAGGTGCGTTTGGGGTGACATTGAAATAAATAGCAACGTACATGCCACATTAACAAACGGTACCGTGCATGCAGTTAACACAACCTTGGTGTGAACAGGCCCTCATGTCTCTTTGGATTCCTGGTTCACATGCATAGCAATACACGTTCAGTCTAGTCACGTTTTCCCCTGCTAGCTCCCCATACTCTCTGTCTTAGGTAGATGCATGTGCATGCACTACTTTTTTTTAATTTCACATTCAGTGCGTGTTCTGTGCTGACAGCTTCCATTCACTGTTTACGATTGGGAGATGCTGGGACACCCGATCACGTGGCCACTGTGATAGCCAGTTAGAGCCATCACATTATTGGCCATCACAACTCCCATGATTGAGGGTAGGGATGCACCGATTCTCTTTTTTTTGTGGGTGCTGGCCGAAACCGAATACTGCCCAATAAGGAAGCCAGACGGCATGTAATGACTCGCTGCCCGTTTTCCTAATTAGCCAGGAAGCTGTCTCCATGCTCCCTTGTCACCAGGTGACGAGGAACCATGGAGCCGGGTTTCTGGCCAATCAGGAATCGCCCGGCTTTCTGATTGGCTGGGAAGCTGGCTTCATGCACCCTCGTCACCAATAGCGAGGGAACATGGAGCCAGCTTCCTGGCCAATCAGGATGCCGGGGGGCGAGTCACAGGAAGTTCTGGTATCTGTATAGGGCGAGTACGAAGACTCGCCCAAATACTCGGTATCAGCACTGATACCAATGCTAGTATCGGTATTGGTGCATCCCTAATTTACAGTGTTTTCTATGTGTCCCATTCACACTACAACGCAGGTGTGATGTGCAGGGCACTGCGATATAATGTAAACATACTGCCACACAACCCATCGCAGGTCAGCGCATGCAGTGGACCGCGCTGCCATGTGGGCACCTGAATAGTGCTTGGACATATAATCACATTTTTAAATGGCACCTGAGAATGAAATGGTTACATTTAATTGAGTGGAAGAAATGTAGTATTCACTTGGACACTCCCTTTGTGAACAATTGTCTAATCGTCTGTGATGACAGTTGTCCCTGTAAACTGTGCAGCAAGTGAAATAACTTGCATGATTATCATTTGATGAGTTTGGGATAATCATCACTAGGTGAAACTCATCTCATTTATATGGCAGAAGGAGGTATCCCTCAGCTCAGCGGTCCCCAACCCCCGGGCCACGGACCGGTAATGGTTCATGGCCTGTTAGGAACTGTGCTGCAGGATTCTACAAGGAGTGTAGTAAGCTGCGGTCTGTAGTATCTTTTCCCTGCCACCCTTGTGCTACCTTTCTCATTTGGGTGCAGCCCTGAGGGTGAGCAGGCAAGAAGACATTCCTAAAAGAGTTGGTGAGCGCCCTGAAGCAAGTGGTGGATGACATCAGCTGGCAGTGTGTCATGGAGAAGGAGAGATTCAAGTCTCCGTGCACCAAGTAAGAAGCCATCAGGCCGGCACCATCCTGGTCACACGTGTATTTGGTGCAGTTAAAAGGACATGAACACTTTTACTAAAAAGTACACTGGACCACCCCCTGTAGCCTCCTATACCATACCCCCACCTTTGTGAAAGGATAAAAGGGGACATATTTCAGGACAAAGCATTTAGGTGAGGGTGCATGTACACTTGTGCGCTAAAGTGCATAGGTCGCCACAACCCATGGCAGTGCACTTGCGCTATGTGCAATGCATTGCGGTGCCATTTATTGTGAATGGCATCACAAAGAATTGTATGGCATTGAACAACGCACGGCAGTGCACCACAAGTGCACACAGTGCATCATTATGAATGTGCTGCCATAAAACAATACTCGTGCCATACTGCACTTTAATGCACTGCATGGAAAGCTTTAGGGCCGATCCACACTAGCCCATACTCTAAAACGGGGTCCCCAACCGCCCCTACCTGGCCAACACAGCCCCCCCGATCCCTGGTGTCGAAACGGTTGGGGACCACTGCCATAGCTGACCACACTGGTAGGTATAATCATCCAGACAGGCTTAGAAATGTAGTTGGGTCACTGATCTTTCTGCCTTTGTTATCCTCTCTTCTCTCCATTAGGGCCCATTCATGCCAAAGCACTGATGTCCTTTTTTCTTGTTAGAACTTTATTGAAATGCTGCAAGTGACATTTCATTCAGTGCTAAAGGCACAGTGGGGTGCAAGGCAGTTGTACCGCATCGCATCCCGCCGCATTGAAAAAGTAAGGCATGCCTTACGCGCGCAATGTGGTGGTGTGAATGGGCACCATCCATGACAAGGCAAATTGACTTGTTTTAAGTTGGGATTGCGCTACAACGGCCAATGCAGCTTCAACACAGATAGTGTTAATGGACCCTAATGGATAGTCAAATATATCTGGGTTTAGTTGTGTTGGAAGGGGGGTGAATAGTGTATGAAAAAAGCAAAATCCAAACTTAGCCGCAAATCCAAATAGTCTGAGGGGAGTGAATCCTACTCCTACTGACTATTTTTGGGATAAATAGGCAAGCTATTTTTAAAAAAGGGCATGGGGAGCTGGGCACTGCCATGTGTGAAATTTTGCAAAGCAAAAAGAAATGTAAAAATAACATACAGCGGGTCCTTTTAATGCGACTTTGAGGGCAGCATGGACAAAAAAACCAATCCTCTAAATAAAATGCTTGGGAGATGCCTTTCAACTGTATGTGGTGTTATGGAACAACACAATTTTCACACACACCATCACGCCGTATTCTGGCTTTAAATATTTTCGATGTGTAATTGATTTGTAACTTTTACATTTGGCTTGGCTTAAATACAGCAGCAGCACCCCCAATCTAATTCATTTCAACTTTAAAAAAAAAAAAAGGTATTTTCTGTATTTTTTGCTGCGGCACCTGATTTTTAATTAAGCATTAATAGGCTTGAGATAAATGGTGAAAGTAGCACTCACAAGAGATCTAAAAGCAATAGCAAAGTTTACTCTTAAAAAAGAAAGCTAAAGCTCGTAACTTCATATACATTGGCCAGTAGAAAAACTGTTTAGTAGTATAGTTTGTGAGCTTCTTTTTTGCAGTATCACACTTCATGGTCATAAACAGTGGCGGAACTACTTTATGTCACTGGTCATAAACATTTTAAAAGATCAAAAACCACAACCCTATATTCTCTGAACCCCCTTCTATCCCTGTATCCCCAATTATTCCAAAAATATTCCTATAGACTTTAGGCATGTGTTTGGTAGAAATTGGTTAACATCAGGACAGTATGAGAGCACTTCAGTGGGCAGCAAATAAAAAGAGACAAGGCAGTTTTTTTCTTAAAAATCAGTGTATTATCTGAGAGACAATAGCTACAAATATTGTACAGTAGCTGGGCAGTATTGAGTTTGGTAAGGTCACAATGTAAGAGGGAGAGCCAATGGCCACAAATCATGTACAGTATGTAGGTTGGTAAGGTCACAAATGTAAGAGGGAGAGCCAATGGCCACAAATATTGTACAGTAGCTGGACAGTATGTAGGTTGGTAAGGTCACAATGTAAGAGGGAGAGCCAAGGCAGGTTTATCTTAAAATAAACATTAGAGTGTATTATTTGAGAGCCAATGGCCACAAATATTATACAGTGGCTGGACAGTAAGCAAGCTTGGTAAGCTGCAATGTAAGAGGCAGTGACAAGGCAGGTTTTCTCTTGAAATAAAGATTAGATATTTGAGTGCTTAGGTACCTTCCCGTTATAGGCTACAAACTTTGGAGACACAACGCAGTATTAACCCTGCAGGAAACATTGGAAATTTGGCAGCTTACGGCCATCTGTGGAAACACTGTGTGGCACCTTTACAGTGATTGGAGTAATGGAATAGGCCAGGAGCTGGTAATTGTGGCAGGTATAATTTTAAACTTAATCTGTAGCATCAACAACAGGGGTTTTGTAGCCAATGGTAAACCAAGACTAGTTTATTTTAATGAATGTGAGCCAGTCCACACTGTCAGACGACAGGCAGATTCACCTCTACATAACAACATTTGGCTGCAGGGCAAGCCAGAAGCTCCAGTGAATACTTTGCAGGTTCTAGCCAGTGGTCCAGTCTGGACACCCAGCAGTCCATGAGGTCCTCACTTCTCAGAGTGTCCACCCCAGCCCTGGACCCGATGTAGTCAGCAATTATTTTGTTTAGCCTGTGATTGCAGATTGCAGCCAGGTGTGAAAAGCAGCACTGAAGCAGCCGCTGCTCCTGCTTTCAAGGTTCAGAGGCACAATGGTAATCAGAGCAGATCCTGCCACCATCAGGAAATGCAGCAAATAGGTTCTAACGCAGCACCTCCTCAAAGTGCTGCATTTTAACTTTCTCTGGATGGTGGCAGTAAATCAGCCATGTTACTCTTGTATCAGGGATCTAATAGGATAGCCACCCAATAGTGGTCCCCAAATCGTAGGGTTCTTGTGCAGGCATTTGAGCAGAAAAGACCCCATATGCCACACATTGCCTGCAGCAGAGGACCCCGAGTCCTTAATATTCCAGAGGACAACACTGTCCTCAACAATCTCACCCCCACTAATGTATTTCAAATGCTGATTAAATCACTGACAATGGATGCTGCTCCTTGATGTTTAAAGGTTTTAGCTCTCTGCAGAATCAGCTGGTCCCCTGAGCACTGGCCTTGCCATCTTATTTTTGGGTGTATCTATAAATAACCAGGGCTAACGGAAAAAACACGAATTGTGTAATAATGTGTATTAAAAATACACACCCTACCAGCAGCTGTGTAAAGGTGCCCATACAACCTTCGTAAGGTTGATGGGCAGTGTACAACCGCAAAAACTGTATAATCAATCGACCCAACAATATCAGCATCCCATCACAGACAGAAAAAATTACATAGAAGAACTCATAGGGTTAAAAAGCTTTTATTATATAAAAGACATAAGATCAAAGTACACTTGCGTAAAATATGTTGCGTCCAGCATAAGAACATAAGCTCCTGAAGCAAATATACAGGTCAACAGCCTTCCAAACAAAGGGCTATTTTCTCCCAAGAAAAAAACAGCGACAGTGATGTCAGTAGGTGTGGAACCCACTTCGGTGTCTACTGGGATTGTACAAGTTATGTGGTGTAGATAAGCACTGATAATAACTTGCCCCTCCCTTTTAGATTGTTAGCACTCACGGGCAGGGCCCTCCTTACCATCTCGTCTTGAATTGTATTGTGATTGTAATGTCTTCCTCATATTGTAAAGTGCTGCGCAAACTGTTCGTGCTATATAAATCCTGTATAATAATAATAACACTGTTGAACCTCCTCTAGATATGCAGAGCACGCTGTCACTCATGCAGCTGGGTGGATCCGGACAGTATTGGTCGGGATCCGTTCCGGCTGCGGCGCTCATCGTATATCGCAGGTAAAAGCCTGCAATATACTAAACTTTGGGTCATGGGAAGAGGTTAGTATATGTCCCCCCATGACCCCATAGAAAAACACTTACCCCATAGTTCTCTTTCAAAATTTCCAGACACTTTTTCTACATGTTTGATTTCAACTTTTAGCTACACTGCGTTAACTTCATATAAAGCAATGCACAAATGCTGCAGCATACTCTCCAGCTAGTCAGCTAAAAACAAAACAAAACTAACCAAACTGTTTTAACATCTCAGGTTAAAAACAGAGATGTTTGTTGAATACATTTGCAAATACACATGAAACCACAGTGTTTTATTAAAGCAACTCTGTCATATAAAAGACACATTTTAGGTAATTTCAGTAGCTGATTTAAAATAATAAATTATAACAGTGCCATGATGGTAACTACAAGCCTGCATATTTGCACTGTATTATTCTTTAAATGTACACTACTTAAAGTGGACCTTCACCCTCTTTAAAGGAGAACTATGGGGTCAGTGTTTTTCCCCATAGTTCTCCTTAGGGTAACGGGAGGACACAAACTAGCGTCCGCCCGTTACCCTAAGCTCAGTATACCGCGAGCTACAGTTAGCGGTATACTAAGACGCCGCAGCGGATCCCGACATCGACGTCGAGATCCGCCCAGCTGCGTGAGTGACAGCTGGCTCTGCCTATCTAGAGGCAGAGCCAGCTGTGCCCGCCCCCTCCCCCGTCCGTTCCGACAGTCAGCGCTGGCAGATCGGAGCGGGGAGAGGGGAATCCAGCCCCTCCCCCTGTCACGGCAGAGAGCCGTGACAGGATCGAGAGGTGAGCGAACCCAGTATGTGTTCGCTCACCTCCCGATCTACTGAGCCGACCTGTGACAGTCTCATTGTCACAGGTCGGCTAGAACTATGAGGTGAGTGGAAATCACTCATCTCATAGTTCTCCTTTAATCACTTATCCATCATTTTCCTCCCCTTCTTCCAGTTACCCAATCAGATATTTTCTTTTCAATTGGAAAGTGCTTTTTTTGCGGGTTGCCATCCCACATTTTCAGCTTTCACGCATAGGCCAGAATGACACCCAAGCCCCTGTCCAAATTCTCCTGGGATTCTAATAGCATGCATCCCAGGGGGCTTTGAGCAACCTCCACTACACTGCACATGTGCTGGGAAATTTCCCTACTACAATGTGCATGCGCCTTGGTGCACAGCAGGCCCCTGATGACGTCAGAGGAAAGATGGTGGTGTGGGACTTAGCTGTGATGGAGTGGTGGCTTCCACAAGCCAATGTTGGATTTGCTGGGCATGTTAGTATATTTTTTGAGGACAACCCAGCAATCAAGGTAAGAGAGGAAACAAATTGTAAAGGGGAGTGAAGTTCCTCTTTAAAGTCAAAATGCAAGGTGAGTTATTGAAAAGTGGTCTAAGCCCAATGTAAAAAAAAACATAGCACTCCACATTAAAAAAAAAACACACTTCTGGTAAAAAGTAAAAAATATATACTTACCTTACAGCCAGCTTCTGCTCTATGTGCCTAGGCCAGGGTAAAGTCATGGTCCTTCCAGCTGGATCACGAGAACACTAAGGATCCTAAATCTCATGAGAAGATGCTTCTGCTTTGTGCTAGTGTATCTTCTAATGGGATTGGGGGTGCACATCATTCTCAGGATCTCACTGGAAGGACTGTGACATCACCTTCTATGCAGAAGTTGGCCTGTAACGAAAGTATATTAACAGCTGCTTATTTTTTTTTAATGCTGCATTTATTTTTTTTGCCTTAATGACTGGGAGTATTTCAATCCAAAAGTTTTAACTTTTTTTAAACAAAATGATGAGTACTTCTCGAGTACAATGTAGCAGATTGTATCTTTCTGCTCCTTGGCAGAAAATGATGACAAGGCAATGTTGGGAAACATTAGCAACACTGGTTTGACAGATTACCAGTGTCGGGAGGACAGTGACTACACTCCTGGGGCTGATGTATTTGAATCTCAGTCTCCTTACTATGACTACCTAGGTAAATGAAGAATACAGTGAACAGAACTATACTTACCTATCGGTGCTGGTAGACCATGCATTGTATAAAATTGCATTTTTAATGAATGTCATTGTAATGTTATTTAAGATAAGATACAGCATTGTAAAACACAGACATAGAACATATATTTTGCCAGTCCTTTCATACAAATCAAATATGCCAGTGTCTTTAGGCAACTGTACATGTGTCTCCCAGCTTAACATACCCAGGATTTCAATACTCTTGCCCCTTGCTATCCAAATGACAGCCCAAGGTTTCTCCATGAGTCTGCAACTACCAGCTTTGTTGGGATGGATTCCCACCCAAATGGTGAGCCCTACCAGACTAGTCAGGCAAGCATGTAAAGTGGCCCTTTCACATCTCCTTCCATCTAAACCAAGACACAGGAAGACCAACCTCTCCGGGTAGAAAACTACTATTACTGGTAAGGAAAAAATACAGAATTCAAATAAGAGACTCAGTATTTCCGAATTATGTTAAAATAAACAAAGTAATACTAGATCCAAATGGCAAGCACCACAAGGTTCCTGGTAATATCTTTGTTAGAAAATAAAATCTCCCTTGAGCACCCAGGGCGGGAGTCCACTCATTTTGCTATGACCTCTGACATGTACCCTTTTGGTTGCACCTGCACAGTTGATCACCATAGTCGTCTACTGGGCTTTCTACTGAGCATCTGGCATTTTATATATTTAACAAATACCTCTGGTAACACCCAGGTGATGCAGAATTTTGGCTTAGGTACCAAACACCTTTAGCTTTCAGATATGGCCATATGTTTGGTTTGTTTAAGTAAACATATCACACATCTGGCCATTTCATAGTGAGCATATGCTGAAATAACGCATAAGCAGAGGTTACCATCAGTAACTGCATGCCAAAATAACCAGTAAATTCAAAGAAACAAACAGACAGCTGAAATTATATCAAAATGTAAGTCAAGCATGGTCCAGTATCCTATCCCAGCAGTTTGCTATTGAACAATGCGACTGCAGATCACAATAGAAGGACAGTATTGAGGCTCAAGACCCAACTTTTCACATGAAAACTTTGAAATGTCCATTTAATTTAGGCAGATTTCTCTTGAAATAACCAATGCTTATACATATATTTTCAGATGCTAAGTGTTAATGGCCCAGTTTTCTTTAAATCTTTCAAAGGTCTACTTGCTCAGCAACCAGATCAAACATCTTTAATAAATTAGGCCAACTTATGGCATATAAACAGCTTTGGAATTTGACACAATGCCCCTGATAAGTGCAGCATTTGGAAGTTTTACCTAAGTATTTTAATAGCATGATGTTCTCGGTGCTAAGAGCATCATTATACTATAGAGTCACGGTCATTAATTTCATGTATAGTCAGTAATTCTTCACATATGTGATCCCGGTATGATAATTACAGATCTTCTCACTCTGAATCATGGGGATGGAGACTACTGTAATATGATGCCAGTTTTGCTGTAATATGCTGTGTACTTCCCATTCATCACCGCATCTGTATACACATAGAAAATAAGAATCTGGGTTTGTTTAAACAGTCATTTGTTGGTTTACAACCAGTAGCTATACCCATAGCAGCCCACATGGCTGCTATGGGGCCCGTGGGTGGGAAGGGGGCTCCAATAGGGAGGTTGTCTGATGTCTCCATTCCAGAAGAGCTGATGTCTGATGCATCGGATCATACTGTTGCTAGTCACATATCTCCTTTGCATCCCCCTAACTGTGAGTAGATTTGTCACCAACACAGTAAGTTAGGGGAAGTTTCTCCATAAGAGACACAGAAGGGAATAAAATAATGTTTTTGTTGAGGACGAAAGGGTTAGCAATTCTATAAATCTTTATTGCTGTCTAATCCTTATTGGGAACATTTTACCTTACTTCCTATGTTGTTGGAAAGACAGATAGTAAGGGGAAATGTCGCCAGACAAAATTAGAAATACAAGTGACTGGAGTTCAACTTAAAAAGCATGTTGCTATTTACATTAATATATCATTTGCAAAATGAATTAGAGATATGTATGTAGTTATGTTATTATAAATATACATGGACACAAGAGATTATTACCTGTAGATGCTATAATTACTTAGTAGTGTGCACACAGTGAATAAAGTCAACTATTTCTCCTCCTCAATGCACATTTATCCTTTTTTTCAGATTGATTGAAAACACTCATAGTGTGATTTTAATGGCATCTGGCATTCCCTTTGTGAACTGATGTGTTTACTGGAGGAAATGTTTCAGCATATGCAAGAAGATACCAGACAATTTCCTGGGTCAATGAGAGGGGCTGTAGGGATAGCTTCTATGCTAGTCACTCTGGAGTAGCCATGTGGTATAAGCAGCTGTTGAGAAAGAAAACATGAGCCTTAGGGCTAGTGTAGATGGGCAACTACAGCATGCTTTAAATGTAGACGTTGCTTGCTTCTACACACTATGAAGTTCATTTCTAAAAGTTCCACCTGGGTTATAGCTGGGCAGATACCGTTCACACGGTACTAGCGCTGACAAGTATGGGAATTTTAACAGATCTAACAGATTCCTCCAGCTATGCTAAACAGGGTCAGAGCAAGATCAGGCCACCCACTGAATTAATTTTGGCCCGGTTCATCAAGAACAGGACAAATTTCACTCAGGTGTATAACAAGTTTAAGATTAGTCTGAGATCCTTTAGAGCTCTTTTTCAGGTGCATTTGACCTGCTATTGACCTTATACCGTATATACTCGAGTATAAGCCGTCCCGAATATAAGCCGAGGTACCTATTTTTACCAAAAAAAAATTGGGAAAAAGTATTGACCCGAATATAAGCCGAGGTACCTATTTTTACCAAAAAAAAATTGGGAAAAAGTATTGACCCGAATATAAGCCGAGGTACCTATTTTTACCAAAAAAAAATTGGGAAAAAGTATTGACCCGAATATAAGCCGAGGTACCTATTTTTACCAAAAAAAAATTGGGAAAAAGTATTGACCCGAATATAAGCCGAGGGTGGGAAATGAGGCAGCTACTGGTAGATAGATACCAATAAAATTACATTAATATTTATTTAAAAGAAAAATAACCTAGCTCTGTAAGTGGAAAAGGGGGTACAGGGCTACATATCATGTACTACGGATCATTTAACCCATTCATGTTAGCAGAGGATCATTGTAAATGTATTGTTGCAGGCACTCTATATGTACATGTACTATATACTACATATAGAGTATATACTGCTAATACAGTGCAGACAATACATATATAATTGCTTAATGAAGCTTAATGAATCTCTCTCTCTACCCCCATGGGCACTTTTCACCCAAAAAAATGGGCTGAAAATCTCAGCTTATACTCGAGTATATACGGTAAGTGTCTTCAGCATGCCTATTAACTGGTATGAAAAGAATAGCAGCAAAGATGGACAAAATCCCATGTACACAGGCCCGAAAGCTGACCATACACTTACTATTTGATTGTACAACCTCCTTTAGATCTACATCAGGGCTGACTAATTGAACATAAATTCAATGGATTTTTTAGGTAGGTCCTCAAATGAAATAATTTTGGTGAATCTAAAGGAAATTTACAGAGATTGCAGAATCAGACTGTAATATAATGTTTGTATATCGCCAAAACCAGTTTAAAATAAACCAGTTCTTTACCCATTCAGCGCCTAGGAACAGTTTTGCTTTAATCCCACTATACTCCCAGTATATACTTACCTTTACTTTACTCCCCACCTCCAATTAATGACAGGGGCTAAGGATTTACCTAGTAATTTATTTAGAAAGGAGCACTTCATGTGAAGTCACTTCTTGATTTCACCTGTGACAGCTCTGGACAAATCAGCTCGGTAACCAGGGGAGTTCAACATCTCCCGCCACTCTTAGTTGGGCATTCACTCAATCCCAGTGGATGAAAGGAGCTTCAGGAGAAAGAAGGGATAAGTAAATGCTGATAGGGAGGTCTTCAATAAAGTGAACCTGTTGCTTTGACCTGTGTGGGCCAAGCATAGGTTAATTTTGAGGGTTTGTGTAGCAAATGGGCAAATGCAGCATGCTTTCAAGTGTTTTCAGCTTACATTTGAGATCTGTTCATGAAAGTTCTGAGCTCTTTCATAAGTGTTTTTGACCTCCTTTAAAGCTACTTGAAGCTGCATAATACTGTTTATTGATTTGTGTGGGTTAAAAAAATAATTCTGTGAACAAAAGCATGTGCAAACAAAGGTAGTCATTGCTGAACCAGTTAAAAGAGAACTATGGCCCAACCTTTTTTGGTCAAGGTTACTATGTCCTCCTGTGACCCAAAACTCAGCATACAGCGGGATACTGCCAGCTATATGCTGAAAGTGCACATCTGTGCTGTGGCTGGGAAAAATCCTGACAATATTGTCAAGATACACCCCGCCACCTGATCGACAGCTTGCTCTGCCTCTCTAGAGATACGGGGAAAGGAGGAGGGAATCTCTGCGGGGAAGATCTGGAACTGAGCGATATGTGATCGCTCAGTTCTCGATCTATAGAGCTGACGCATGGCAGCTTCAGTGTCACAGGTAGGCTCTAATTATGGGGATGAGTGTTTTTCACTCTCCCCATAATTTTCCTTTAAGTGTTAACCCACAATTATTCCCCTATCCTGGAGATCTGATCACACCTGAGAGAAGAGGATAGGGACTGTGGCTGAGTAATGTACTGCAGCCTTCTCGGAAAGTGTACTAATATGCTAAAAAGCCAACAGTTCTAATTAATGATGTGATTGTATGAGTTATGAATACAGAGCCACATTATAAATAAGTGCATAGGCACCCCTAGACCCCAACACTGAGTCTCCTGCCTGATGCCCTAGGCCTAGTGTAATCTAACAGAGCAAGCTACTCTGACTGTCAAAGTGACTTGGCTCCATTGTATGCAGGCAGTGCTGGGCGAAGGGATATCCATTGCGATGCTGGCTACATAGTTATGACCTAATGTCATGGAGCAGAGACCAGGGGAGTGGGTC